AGCCCAACAGGTTTTACTTTAATGCATATAAATAGCTTTATTGTAATTCTTATATATATATTATATATATATATATATTATATATATATATATATATATATATATATATATATATATATATATATATATATATATATATATATATATATATATAATATATATATATATATATTATATATATATATATATATATATATATATATATATATATATATATATATATATATATATATATATATATATATATATATATATATATATATATATATATATGAATGTATATATTTACACAATTATTCCACTCTGGATGTTTCAGAGGCCCCCAGCTCATGCTGAGAGTATCTCTACTTTGAATGTATATGTTATGATTATGCAAATGTAATGGTTTAATATGATTCAGCAGTTTACTGTTCTTTAACCATCCTCAAATGCACGTACAGTCCTGTCTTGCCTTGTCCCATGCTGGTTCGGAAGTTCCAGCCCCGCCCCAAGTTTTACCAGAGTGCTGTGCTGTGGCATTGTGTAATGCCAAACTGTCTTTGTGCGTCACTGGGAGCACCCTTCCTACACGCACGTACATGAGTGTAAACACATGGAAGAAACAGTACAAAGTGTCTTCTTACATCAGCCCACGCCACAGACTTGCCTTTATTTACAGGGATCATGCTACAGAATTGTTTGATCGTCTCCGTTGTTTCACATCTGCTTATGCATTTGTTCGGCATATAACTCGTGTTTGTTCAAATAAATCGTGTCACATGATCCTTCCTTTCCACAATGACTCCTGTTCATTAAAGAAACCTAATCAAACTTTGAGCTCTCAGACCAGATGTTATCATCCTTACTGTCAAAGTGAGTCATCTGTGAATGACCATGTAGCATAATGTTTAAAGGGGTGTTGTTCCATTTCAGGAAGCCTATGATAACTAAATTACAGGAGTGGAAGCAACATTGCAAGAACTGATTGTTATGTATTTGTCCACTACTTAGCAGGCAGTTACTGCAATCATGAGAGTTCTTTGAGTTCATCTACCTTGAAAACTAAATTACGTCTCTAAATTTCTCTATAGAGATTGTTCAAACATCATGAAGTGTTTCACTTACACAAGTTATTTGTAGAATTTCAAGTTAACACTCTTAGCAAAAGCATATATAATTCAAATTAATATTTCAAAGTATACTGAAGTATACAAAAGAATATATCCTTTAAGATTAATAAGAAGTTTAAAAAATGTATACTTATTGGGACTAAATTCTGACATTTTAAGTTTACTTTACAGTAAACTTAAGGTAGTCCTGAAGATATGCCTTTATTTACCCATTATAAACTTACAATCTACTTATAGTTTATAAAAATATACTTTTAAGTATTCTGGGAAAACTCAGGTTATACTGATGAGCACATAAGTCCTAATGGACTAAACTTAACTATATTCTGTTGAAATACTAGCAGTTCAGAGCACTTAAGAAGGAGTATAAACAAGTTGATGCGCATGGAGTTCTGTTGACTTGAAGCTTTTTTTATAAAGCATGATGTTGCATCTTACAGTGTAAATTAAATGTGTTTTTTTACTTTGATATATTTGCATTAAAGGAGAATTCTGGTTTTTAACACTTTTAGCCCATTTTCTGTAGTGTCCAGGATGAAATCGAATGATCGACACCACAATTTTGACAATTGGTCCTGTCTCTGCTTTTTGGCTCATGCAGAATCCCCCCCTGGCTGCTTCAGAATGGCTTCCATAGTGCATGTCCGATAATGTCCTTAAAACAACCTTAAACGTTCTTTTTTAAAAATATGCTACTCACCGGGTCGTCAGCGCTGTTCAATGACGTTCCAAAAAAAGTTTTGTAAAGAAAAAACGTTCCTGTAGTGTTTTATTTAGCATTTTGTAAATCCCATTGAGTTCTGTTGGAATAGTCAATATCCCTCCGCCACCAGAAATGGAAATGGGGCCTGTTTACACTTAATTGTAGTCTTTTCGCTTCACTCTGTGTACTCCGAGGTCGAGGTGCTAACGTCTCTGTTAAACACTTTAAAAAACTCTGAAAATGGAATACGAAAGGTGGATTCTTGAGGAGGACATATTGGACTTTGAGTTTGACGGTAGAGGATACCGTTTTGAACCGGAATATACTGAGGAGGAGTATATAGAGACATTGTCGCCAACTAGTGGTCTGGAGTGTGCAACGCTTCAGATTCGAACGGGAAGCGGAAGTTTATAAGCGGTTGTGATGTATCGGAAAAAATAGTTCTGGGATTTACAAAATGCTAAATAAAACAAGACAGGAACGGTTTTTCTTCACGAAACTTTTTTTGGAACGTCATTGAACAGCGCTGACGACCCGGTGAGTAGCATATTTTAAAAAAAGAACGTTTAAGGTTGTTTTAAGGACATTATCGGACATGCACAATGGAAGCCATTCTGAAGCAGCCAGGGGGGGATTCTGCATGAGCCAAAAAGCAGAGACAGGACCAATTGTCAAAATTTTGGTGTCGATCATTCGATTTCATCCTGGACACTACAGAAAATGGGCTAAAAGTGTTAAAAACCGGAATTCTCCTTTAATGAACTAGCAAAACTTGGGATATATATAATTTTGCATACTTGAGTGATCTTAAAAATATAAACAGATATGTAAATATATACCTAGTTTTACTAAGAGTACATATACGGTAATTCAATTCAGTTTATTTATATAGTGCCACTTCAGAACACATGTCATCTCTAGGCTTCAAAGGTTCTATCTAAGGAAAACCAGTTGATTCCATCGACTCACTTTCTCAAAGGCAACCCCTCACACCAAGCATGCTTGTAGTGAGCGTGGAGAGGAAAACTCCCTTTTAACAGGAAGAAACATCCAGTAGATCCAGGCTCAGTGTTCAGTGTGATCGGCTATTTGCTGGGGCCGACTGGGGTTCAGGGAGATAGAAACAGACTAAGGCCCCGTCCACAAGAAGCCAAACCCTGGCCTAAACGCACAAATTTTTCACCAAACCAGCCTCTCATCCATACAAAGCCGGCGTTTCGGGGGTCTGTAAACGATCTTTTTTTTATTCAGCCTTCAGAGTGGGAAGATTTTGAAACGCCGTTTTCGCGGTTCCATCTTTAAGCTCTAACCGCATTTTTTTTTTCTTACACGCATGCGTCATAGCGTCGCCTCTAAACACGCATGCGCCACACAGTATCACAACAACAATGGCGGCGTACTGTGTTGAATGGTTGCTGCTCATGCTACTCACCCTGCTGTCGGGCTTACAACAGAATCTTCTTCTTCTGGAATATCTACAGGAAGAACAGAGCAATATCGACGACATAGTTCAGCACCTGAATTTGACTGAACCACGAAAATGGACCCGCAGGTCAACCATGTATAACTATTAGTGCGCATGCCCAACATTTCGTCACCTCTTTTTGCTTTGGCACCAGAGCGCCACTTACAGGCCTGGCATACATTTTGCAGCGTTTTCATGCATTCGTGTGGACGATCACATTTATTTTATGTCTCCGTCTTTACGACAAACGTTCTGGAAAATATTAGCGTTTCGTGTTCATTTTGACTTCGTGTGGACGGGGCCTAAAATGCCCTCTCTGGAGCCAAAGTGAGTGTTAAAGTACCCCCTTGGGAGCCAAACAACTGCTCAAGTGGCCCCTTGGGAGCCAAAATGCATATTAAAGTGCCCTCTCAGGAGCCAAAGTGTGTGTTAAAGTACCCCCTTGGGAGCCAAACATCTGCTCAAGCGGCCCCTTGGGAGCCAAAATGCATGTTAAAGTTCCCTCTCTGGAGCTAGAGTGAGTGTTAAAGTACCCCCTTGGGAGCCAAACAGCTGCTCAAGTGGCCCCTTGGGAGCCAAAATGCATGTTAAAGTGCCCTCTCAGGAGCTTAAACGTGTGATAAAGTCTGCCCTCTAGATTCAAAAACATGTGGTATAGTACCCCCTTGGGAACCAAAAGGCATGTTCAGGTTCCCCCTTGGAGGGAAAAAGCACTCAAATGCCCCCTTGGGTGCCAAAACCAATGTTAAAGGGCCCTCTCAGGAGCCCAAACACATTTTAAAGTGCCCTTTTGGCAGCCAACATGTGTGTTAAAGTGCCATCTACAGTGGTGCTATATATGTGCCCTTTTTTTTCTTTCCTCCCCTGCAGTTCAAAAACTCTACAGACACAACTGAGTTACAACAAGTAACGTGAAATAATATTTACTTATCTCTATTTTATAATGAGTATACGTTAAACTTGCGTATACTAATTTTTGTGTTCGTCAATAAAACCTGGCAGAAATTACAAAAATAAGATAACACATCATGTTATGATTATTAATGTGTGTCCGTCATACAGAAATACAACTCTGCTGACATTACAATTGACCGATTTTAAAATGTATTTACATGACCAACTTTGTAATGTCAATACCTTGGATGCCAACAGGACTAAGCCTGCTCTCTTTACCAATTCTACAGTTTTTTTTTTTATTGAATTATAGCAACATTTGGCTTACTTCATAGTTTAATAAAACAAAGCACATACACATTTTCTCTGGTTCATTATCATCTACTTCTTCTCATGCTTGAAGTTCTCTGACTTCAAGCATGAGAAGAAGTAGATGATAATTCCGCCTTTGTCTTGGAGATGTTTCTAGCTGAACATACAGACACATTTGCTTAAACAGATTAACCTTTAGGTTGTTTGTGCTTAGATGCTTTTGTCTTTATCTTGCAAGTATTAAATATTTAATTTTATTGAACGGCGGCCGAGATAGCACCAGTGCCTTTAGTCACTGGCCCATATATAAATGTCATTATCTTAGAAGTCAGTATTTGACTCATTGCTGCCCCTTTCAGCTATGCTAATATTAAAAGGGGTCTTCCACTGACTCAAAATATCAAAAAGTAGCTCTACTCCTACTCTGTTCATCACTTATTTTGGCTTGAACTAATTTCCATTTTTTTTCCCTCTTTCTCGCTGTCTGTATTTTTGTCTTTGTTTCTCTTTGTTTCAGGGACCTCACATTGCATCAGTGACTCTGGCAGCCTATGAATGCGGTTCAGTGGAATTCCCTGAGCCTCCCTATCCGGACCAAATTGTCTGTCCTCATGAGGGAGCACCGACATCCGGCACTGGTGCGGAGCAGGTGGGCGTGAGGGCAGATGGAATGGTGGAGCCTGCAGGCCTCCAGGGAAGCATATCCCTCTGGACCATCATGTCAAAAGTTCGCCTGGAAGCTTGTATGTGGGTAAGTCTTAATAGAACTGTTATAGCTGGGGGTACTTCTCAGACTCAAATTAACTTCTCTGAGTTACTTTGCACTGATCGTACACCGCTTTCTCTGGTTTTCTGAGTCTATTTTATTATAAAATAAAACACACTATGTATAAATGTCCTTAGAACTGTTATTTTGTTGTTGTTTTTTTTACTGTATCTCAGTTCCATAACAAGCTTTTTTTATTAAAGATTACCATTATTTCTGTGGTGCTTGTTTTGCTAAATTTATCGGTAGATGAAGCCCTTTGTGTGTGCTTATAATAACAGCACTGTTTTGACCGAAAGTACAATACTGCGCATGTATGCAGGCGCTTAACAAGGAAGCGATGGGCTAAGCCAATTAGCACCTCCCGGTGAAGTTGTAAAAAGTCCAAGATCCACCCATCCATTTTCTCTTATGCGTATCCCAAGTGGGGTCACAAGGGGTGCTGGTGCCTATCTCCAGTTGTCTACAGGCGAGAGGAGGGGTCCACCCTGGACAGGTCGCCAGTCCATCGCTGGGTAACACAGAGACAAACAGGACAAACAACCATTCACACACACTCACACCTGAGGAGAATTTAGAGAAGTCAATGAACCTAACAGTCAAGTTTTTAGATTGTGGGAGGAAGCTGGAGTACCCGGAGAGAACCCACGCATGCTTAAGGAGAACATGCAAACTCCATGCAGAAAGACCCCGGGTCGGGAATCAAACCCGGAAGCTTCTTGCTGCAAGGCAGCAGTGCTAACCACTGAGCAGCCCAAGATCCACTGTAAAAACAAAAACAAAACAAAAAATGAGAGAATTGTTCATTCCAAGTGGGAAAGACTTGAATATTGTATAAAAGTTGATGTTCACTAAAGCAAGAGTTGTTGGATGTGCGAGGTAACATCCTTATTAATAGCAGTGATAGAAATGCTATTCTTAGCCTCTACAGTCTAAGGACAAACATTTTATAGATACATGATCAGCTGATTGATTGGTTGACTGAAATAGTCATCATGGTGTCCCATGCAGTTTTCTGTTTAAGCCAATAAAATCCTGCAGCCTACTCAAGATCAGATTCAATTCATCTCCCATGGACAATCTACTTGCCAAGGAAATTGTATTTCAATGCGTTAAATTGACCTTTATTACTATTAAAATGTTTTAACTTAGGATTTTTTTTATTTATGTAATTGAAAAATGTCTTATCACAATTCTTAGAGTTTGTGGGGAACAGGAATTTTCTTCTTCCCTTTATATTTAATAGGAGGCTCCAATGAAGTCTCAGTAAAACTTAAAGTTGCCATAGATCCATCCATATATTTGATTTTTATGGGATTGTCTCCAACCATGTCATTTTACAGCAAGGCACTGCAGGACGGCCGAGCTCCTTTAACTAGCTGACAAATTTGTCACCATCTTGTTTATGACAGTTCTGTGGTACTGCCAGCAGATGGTATAAATGTCTGTGTATATACCCGCTCATTGCGTCATGTGCAGAAATTCTATTTATGCTCAAAAAGTAAACTATTAGGATTGACCCTTGGTGTATGAACCCATATTTTATTACCATCAAATGGTTTTTAGTATTTCTGTATAGGCATATACTGTGGGTATGCACCTTTAAAGCTTTAAACCTTACCTACACCAACACACTGTAGTGCAGGCATCCCCAAAGTTGGTCCTCAAGGGCCATTGACCTGCAGGTTTTAGAGGTTTCCCTGCTCCATCCCAGGTGATTTACATTGATAGTTGATAAACAGGCTTTTGCTGAACTGCAATCATCTGAATCAGCTGTGCTAAAGCAGAAAAACCTCTAAAACCTGCAGGACAGCACCCCTAGAGGACTGACTTTAGGGATGCCTGCTGTAGTGAATAACTGTACAGTGGAAGCTCCAATTCATAGGATATATCCCTCAGTTTGATCTGCACTGCTAAACAATAAAATCTTTCCCTATTCTGGTCTTATTTTTAAAAACTGAGATCATCAACCAGGACAGTTCCCCTGTCTGTGCTAAAGAAAAGCCTCAATACAGCATGGTGCTGCCACCACCATGGTTGTCAGCAAGGATTTGGTTTGTAGTGTTTTTTCTACTTTATTTTATAAAACAATTTTCAAATTGCGTCTTATCTAAGCAAAGTTTACTGTGTCCTCTTTAATTCATCTGCCTAAATGTGAGTGATGCTTCTTAGAAACGCCACAAATGTACAACGTCCACAGTAATACCCTATTCTTGGAAAACCCTACTTCCTTACTGAGAATTTCCAACGAGCAACGTCAACCAGTTTGGTGGCCACCTAAACCTTTTTTTTGCTTATCAGTTTTTATTTTTTTTCTGGGCCTGGACAGAAAACTACCCACGACTTCACAGGCACTGTGTGTAAAAATAGACAGTGAGGGTTTGTGGTGCCAGAGTTCCTTTTTAAAAAGTTGAACTATGTCACAGAGCAGCCTTTTGAAGTTCTGCTGGTTTATCAGTGTCTCACACCTGTTTCTGCTGCTGCTACTCTTCTTACTCATTAAACATAAAAAGAAGAACAAGAAGAATAAGAGCTTGACGTGTCACAGACTCACGCTTGGTTGCAGATTTCAGTTTAGCTTTTGAGAACTGCAGAGAGCTTGAAAAGCTGAACTTGGTGGATTGTTTTACAATTAACTGCTTCCCTCTTCCTTGTAATGTGGAAGGTAGTGTGCTGAGGGGAAATAAAGCTCTTTAGTTACTTCTTCACTGCTGGCGTCTTTACGGGAACCTGTCCTTCTGCTCTGTGCCGTAATTGGCCCCCCATGCTTCAATGGAGCTGTAAAATATTAACTACACACACTCTTCCTTCCTTTCAAAGGATTACCAAACTCTCTGTTTGTTGTTGTGTTTGATGTCACCAAATCCCCCTTTGGATTCACCCCCACCCACGAGGCTTGTCAGCTCTACAGTTGGAGGCACCTGTTGCACGCCCGTTTTCAAAGCAACATCACCGCCCCCCCCCACCACCACCACCACCTCGCTGCTTATGTTTGGTGATGAGACATGAAACTGCCCCCCGCTCCCCCTCTTAACAACTGCTTCTCCACCTCCTCCTTCCACTTTCTCTTTCCTCCTCTTTCTTTGTCCATCTCCTGCTTTGCTCCTGCAGTCGATGACAGCGGATGCCTTAAGTGCTCCACTTCAAACAGCAGCACGGTGCAGGTGGACAAATTTCATCGCACTGCTTCACAAATACCCCGAGCTGCGTACTTGCAAACAGAGGCTGAGCGCTTTGAATGGAGCAGCTGCCAGGGAGATTAAAATACATCCCCATTATTAAGAAAAAGAAAAAAACAAAGTAGAGGGTTTCATTAAAGACTGCAGTGTTAACTTGAGCACAGGGTGTCCAGATTAGGTGCAGTGTGCCAGGATTTTTTGGCTTGCACCGCCCCCTGACAGTGATTGTTTTGGCTTGTTTGTGCTGCCATGGTTGCTAACTACCCACTAATCATCTTCTGGCTCAGCCCGTCAGCAACATATAACGCTCCTGTGATTAGTTAGTTATACTCCTCTTTGAAGCTGATGTGTTTTATGTGTTTTACCAGAACAGCAAATTCGGCTTAGATATTTTTATTATTATTTTAACTCTTGCCTGTCTTTTGAAGATGAAGCTTGTACTCATGCGAATCTATTTCCTGGTTGTAATTTAATTGGGCCAGAAATATTCATACCAATTGAGCTATTCATAAAATATAATGAATTTAATGGGATTTTGTGCAATTCACATAAATTCAGCTCGGCTTTTAAGATCCAGACTTTACAAGAGCGTTAGGCTAAATTAACTTTAACTGTGCTTTAGGGACAACGGCAGAAAGAATTAATTAGATTAATTGTGATCAATCGATTATTGAATTAGTTGTCAACTAATTTAGTAGTTGCTTAATCATTAATCATTAACCCCCTCTCTCTCTGTATATATATAGATATATATATATATATCTATATATATACATCTATATAGATATATATATATATTAGGGATGCAACGGTTTATGAAAACCGTCCGAACCGTTCGGTTCGACTGTCTCGGTTCGATTCGCGTGTGTTTCGTTCGGTTCATGCGCTGCTCCTTTTTCTCATAGGCGAAGCGTTTACACTCCAGAGCAGAAGGTGGCGGTACTGCGACCAAAGCCAACCACCAGTAGTAAACAAGAAGAAGAAGAAGCGAAGCAGCATAGCCAGCAGCACTTTATAGGTTTGCTGTATGGGACCACTTTGCATTTAGAGTGACCTACGATGACGGCGGAAAGAAAGTTGTGGATAAAAACAGTGTGCAAGCATTGTGCAACACGTTTTGTTTATGCTAACAGCAACACGACCAACATGTCAGGCTAACAATCAACATATACCGAAACCAAACCGAAAGCCGTGACCACAAAACCGTGAACCGAACCGATTTTGTGAACCGTTCCACCCCTAATATTTATATATATATATATATAAATATCAGCTGTGCTGCTGCCATCAACACCTTTGTTTATAGAGGGTGGAGATCTACCTGTTTTTCAGTGTAGTCCTGTTTCTCTGACTGTGACTGGCTGGATGTGCTCTCTTCATCCTCTGACATGGGAGCTGGCTTGGAGCTCGTCTGCCTGGCTGTGTGTTTCCTGGACGGGGCTGCCTTTTACAGCTTCTTTTTGTATCTCTGCTTCTATCTCCTTGAATCCCAGTCGGCCTCAGCAGACGGCCCTCACACTGAGCCTGGTTCTGCTGGAAGTTTCTTCTTGTTAAAAGGGAGTTTTTGCTCTCCACTGTCGCTACAAGCATTAATTTAAATAAATATTTATTCAAACAAATAACCTTTCTGTCAGTCAATATGTTCTACCCAGAACTCCTCAAGTGGAAAAGCTTTAGGTTCACGTGGTTTAAAGCTGTAAAAAACATTTCCTGCGATTATTTATTGAATTAATGAAAAAACAAATCAACAGATGAATCTATTAGTAAAATCGCAGCTTTAATAGTCACAGCCGGGTTCAAAGGTCATGGACAAACTATGTTACTAATATTCAGTGTTTTTTGCCTGATTAAAGCTCTGTGCACAGGACAACTGTTTCATTTAAATGTAATTGTTCTTCTCTTCCTCTGAACCCATGAGAATATTGTAATTATAATCTCTGTGCTGTTTACTCCAATAGCTCTTGAAAAGGAACTTATTTTAAGCTCTTTTAGCTCCATATAGCCTCAGCTGCCCCATATTCTCTCCTAATAAACACATCCTGTTCCTGTGTCATTCTCCACACCTCCCTCAGTATAAACTCTCAGCTCATCATTGTACTGCGTCGGACTTTTCCATCACCATATTCATTTCTGCCTCATGCTTATCAGCTGTTTTCTCCATCACTGCTCCATGTTATGTCCTCCTGATGCTCTACGGTTGTTATTATTTTTTAGTTTTGGGCGTGCAGGTGGAGCAGTGGTTAGTGTGCACAACCCATGTACTGAGGCCTTAAAGGAATAGTACACCCAAAACATGATTAGCCTTCATTTTCTACTCACCCCCATGCTGAACAACACCCTGGAGTACTTTTTTGATATCTCAAATGCATCTGGAGATCTGGGAGGCTTCTTGCTGTCTGCTGACATTCAAATAATGGAGGTCTATGGCGCCCGAGACAGAAAGGTCCATAAAAGTCCACAAAAAACGTTTCAATATTCCTCCATACTGCTCGTCCAATGTAATCCAAGTGTCCTGAGTGGGTAGCGTCCAGAATTTACTCGAAACGAAGTCATTTAGAATGTTTTCAGAGCATAAACAGTAGTGTATAGGATTTCCTGAAAGCGCGCACATGCGCGATCACGACGCTACGGAAGCCGGCAGACCAAACCAGCGCATTCAGCTCGGCAAAGAACTCATGCTCTTCCTCAACACTGAAGTCCTCAGACATTTTTCTTTCGTTGTTTCATTTCTTTGCACAGGTAAACAGCACATTTCTTCTTCTACGCTTGCATTATTGGCAGAGCAGACGCTGAATGCGCACTTTCATCTGGTTTGGTCTGCCGGCTTCCGTAGCATCGTGAACGCGCATGTGCGCGCTTTCAGGAAATCCTATACATTACTGTTTATGCTCTAAAAACCTTCTAAATGACTTCGTTTCGAGTAAATTCTGGATGCTACCCACTCAGGACACTTGGAATACATTGGACGAGCAGTATGGAGGAATATTGACACGTTTTTTGTGGACTTTTATGGACCTTTCTGTCTCGGGCGCTATGGACCTCCATTATTTGAATGTCAGCAGACAGAAAGAAGCCTCCCAGATCTCCAGATGCATTTGAGATATCAAAAAAGTACTCCAGAGTGTTGTTCAGCATGGGGGTGAGTAGAAAATGAAGGCTAATCATGTTTTGGGTGTACTATTCCTTTAATCTTCAACGCGGGTGAGTGGGGTTCGATTCCGGCCTGTGGTCCTTTCCTGCATGTCACTCCCTTTCTCTCATGCTCCCTATCCTGTAAGCCTGCTGTTGGAAAGATCAAATGAGCCAAAAGTGCCATAAAAATATATATATTTTTTAGTTCATCGTGCTGCTCCCTGTCTTTGCTTTGTGAAAGATGCTGCGATACGACTTATGAAGCTATCAGAAGTCACCCTGTAAGGAAATAGTCCTTAGTGTAGATTGAGCTGTTGTGTTAAAGTCTCAGAGATCTCTAGAGGACATTTTTTCAAACAGCAAGATGATGGCCAAGGAACACATTAAGACACATCGGAGAGAAAGTTGTGGGGAAGTTTAAAGCACTTTAAAGAGTTGGTTTCTTAGAGCCTGCTGTTTTATTTCATTCGACTCCCTCCCTCTGAACTTGTTTTCATGTTTTGATTCATGAACTTGGTGAACTCACCAAATTGCTTCAGATTTATTTCCCTCAAATTGCTTCCTTTTTGTTAAGCCTTTTCTCATTCACACATGCTCCAGCTACGAGCTCCTTTGGAAAGTTGTAATATATTTAGAGCTTTTCCCCTGATTTGAGCCTGTGTGTAATCGATCCACAGATCCACAAATCCTGGTGCACTGGGATTTTCACTCTTGTAAATCTTTTCCGTTTTAGCTCTGTTAATTGCTCCTGTTACACAATCCTGGCCATCAAGCAAAGAAAGCTTGTTCAGATTGTGCCTGGTTGTATACTTGCTTTTGCTTTTGACTTTCTGGTCCAAAGGGAAACATTCTAGTGATTGTTTCATGACTGTAGCCGGTTCAGGTTCCTAAAGTCTGGGTCATCATTGAGTCAAAATGGAAAAGGATTACTGTACCATTGCATGTTTTCCTCACTGCTCCTTTCAATGCTGTTCACTTCAGACTCCTGTTAAAATCCCTAAGTTGGCAGAACCTTGTTACAAATACAACTAAACCTTATATTTTAACTAAAAAAATGGCAGGACCTTAATTGTTTTTGGATAACTGGAGTAAATACAGGATGCAGGTTTGAAAAGGGACATTTAGTTGAATAAGGGGGAAAAGAAGCTGCTTAAGCATCGTATCCAGCTCGATTTTATTTTTTGCATAGGAAAATAATAAATAAATTCTGTCAAAACACTTAAGATATACCCTATTGAAATAAGTTGAGCCTAGACAGAAGTTTAACTGAATAAACCGATTACTCGCCTTCATCCGCCTAAGACACAGCCAATCAGCTTTGATCCATGCCTCCGTGAAAGCAATCAGCATCCAAAGTTCATCTTAAAAGGCCTCCGATCCGCAACTTGTCTGCTACCTAGTGTGCAGGCGGTGGTTGCGCTGTGACTTTATTCAGATGACCCCGTTTCAACCCACCTCCAGCCCCTCCTCCACCATCGTAGCTAAAGCTTCATTAGTGTCATTACTCCTGGACTCTTACTGCATTCTGAGTCTCATTTCAACCGGTCCAGCAGAAGACCGCCATGTTCAGCCTGGTTCTGCGAGACATTTCTTCACAACGGGGAGTTTTTCCTCTCCACTGTCGCTCCATGCTTGCTCATCATGGACAGGTTCTCTCAACCTGTGTTATCCAACTGGACTTCCATCTTCCAGGTCCCTGAGTTAAGCTCTAGTATCAGCTCATGCAGTCCACTGGATCTCCCCATAAAGCTCAGCAGACCGTCTCTCTAACCAGCAGTCTACAGACTGACCAACTTCATCTATCTCCACTCCACCACCAGTTTCAGGCCTGGGGGGGGCAAACAGCCCTATTCTTTATTGCTGTTCATGTATATCGATCAAAATTCAGCGCTATGTTTCCTGCCGAGGTCTGAGCGCCAAAGACTAAGTAATGGTCTCAATAAATCTCTTCTAATTGTCTTTTCTCTCCGGGTCTGTTTTTCAGATTGAAATAACCTCCAATATGTACGAGTAAATCAGAGTCACAGACAAGAGGGTGCAGAAATGTCTTTGTAGGGAATAATTTCATCAGATATTTGGAAAGCTTTTCCCCCTTTAAAAAGTTAGTTTATCTTTAATAATAGAATTAGTTTGATCCTAAATATTCAAGCATAACAAAAAAGAGAAACAAATAAAATCATCTCTAGACGCAATGTTTTAAACTGAAGCATTCACATTGAGTATTTTTCTGTTTGTGTAATTTTTTTTACCAGGGTGCTGGTACAGCTATCGGGGAGCTCCCTCCCTACTTCATGGCAAGGGCAGCCCGGCTGTCTGGTTCCGACCCAGATGATGAAGATTACCAGAAGTTTGAGGAAATGCTGGACCAGACCGAGTCTGCTCAGGTGACACATCCTCTGCAGCTTCTTCTTATCGTGCCATCTACAGCTTTTTGCTTTCTCCTTTGTCCTTTCATCCTACTCATGTGACAAAAGATATATTACTCAATTTGTTAGAGTACAAGAGTCACCACACACTTCAGCTTTTGAAAAGGCCCCACCTTTATTTCTCAATAAGACAGTCACAATTAAGCTCTTGCTCAACATCATGACTAATAGAACATTGGTGATACGCTTGAGTAAAATCCTTTTTGCACTCTGGGCTTTCATTGAGAAATCCTCTGAAAACATGTTCAGCATGTCTTCCCTCCACATATTTCCGCTCTAACTATTGCCTCTTTGTAAATATTTATTGTTCTGTCCTTCTATGACTATGAATGATGCATTAGGAATGAAAAGAAAGTCATTAAAATACCAGCGGAAACATGCAACAAGCAATTTGGTAATTTAAGGAGAGGTTGGTTCCAACTATTGCTAAGTACGATTTTTCTAGTTCGTAGAATAAACGGTAAAAAAACGTAGACTTTTTAAATTAGAATTTAAATAAAAAAAAATAAAAGCATTGTTTTCTGCTCTTTTTCATTTTATTTTGAGAAATGCCAGATTTTTTTTTTCTAGAAAGAAACTTTTTGATGTATAAACTTGCCAGGGTAATAGTTTCATAATTTGGGGTTATTTATAAACCTGATAGAAATATATGAACACTGAGTCTTTATAAAGGCTGTGTTTAATGAGTGAAACACCATAAGCATAAGACTAAAAACATCCCACACTAATTCCTGACTGAATCTTTACTGTTCCATGATAAAACCTGCTTCTGCATCTGTTAAAATGCTGAAAAAGGTGAAAAAATATACATTTATTTAGAAAGTATGAAAAGAAAATGAACAAAACAACTTATCACTGCTCTGTGGACAGATTTTTATGAACCAAAAAAGTTAAATAAAAAAAAAATGTTTGGGCTTTTAATCGTTTAAATGAATGATTTATTTTCTTAGATTATAACCAGAACATAATTAATACCTTTTTTGTTGAATCAGACAAAAATGTAAATAAAGACAAACCTGCAATTGTTGTAATTTAAACAGGGTATAAGATGATAGAGTTGAATTAATTTAAGGTTAAGTTGAACAATTTGGATGGAGTTCTCCATTTTTATTTCCTTTGAACAATAGCCCCTTTTATGTTGCCTTTGGCTGGGGCTTTCCAGAGCTCGGGTAGCATTTGGATGCACATTTACCCTGAGTAATTTCACTATAGATCCATTCCTCAGGTAGGTCTAAAATCTTCCTGGGATTTTTTTTTGCGATATATGTTCAACAAGATTTCCTGCAGAACTTGCCACCGGTAGTAGCAGTAACTTGAAAAGGTAAGTGTACTCATGGTTTTTATACCTCTTTATATTGATGTTATACCTCAAACTTCATCTGTGGATTTTGTTTATCAAAAACTAGCATACTAGTTGCTTTGAGAGATTTTAGAGCGGTGGAGCTCCGTGTTGTTAATGCTGCAGGTTTAGCTCTGACTTACGGTTTCCCTTTCACTGAGTTTAAGTTTTATTTCCCATTAAATAAGTTATTACAGAAAGTAGATTTAGGCTGTTTTTAGGACAGAAATTACACCCGTAAATGTATCTTTACAGTCAGTTCATCAAGTTTATTATCCTACTTATTAAATGAGCTTTTAGAGTTTATGTAGCAGCAGAGCTCTGCTGACAGCTCAGTATGGCTCCTAAGCCAGGTTTAACTAGCCGGGTGGTAGCACTGCTAGTCCTCGGTTACAGCTGCCTTTCCTGGCACTATGGGATTTCCCAGCACCTGTTATGTGTTTGTAGCAGCTAAACGTGAATATAACGCATTTATTAGATAGCTACGCTGTTAAAACTGCAGAAACAAACATTTTAAAGCTACAGTGTGTAATAATTACAGGGATATACAGTCAGAAATGTAATATATTATACATAACTATGTTATCTATAAACATCTACGAGCTCAGCCTCTTAACCTTAAAGGAATAGTACACCCAAAACATGATTAGCCTTCATTTTCTACTCACCCCCATGCTGAACAACACTCTGGAGTACTTTTTTGATATCTCAAATGCATCTGGAGATCTGGGAGGCTTCTTGCTGTCTGCTGACATTCAAATAATGGAGGTCTATGGTGCCCGAGATAGGAAGGTCCATAAAAGTCCACAAAAACGTGTCAATATTCCTCCATACTGCTCGTCCAATGTATTCCAAGTGTCCTGAGTGGGTAGCATCCAGAATTTACTCGAAACGAAGTCATTTAGAATGTTTTTAGAGCATAAACAGTAGTGTATAGGATTTCCTGAAAGCGCGCACATGCGCGTTCACGACGCTACGGAAGCCGGCAGACCAAACCAGCGCATTCAGCTCGGCAAAGAACTCATGCTCTTCCTCAACACTGAAGTCCTCAGACATTTTTCTTTCGTTGTTTCTTTCTTTGCACAGGTAAACGGCACATTTCTTCTTCTACGCTTGCATTATTGGCAGAGCAGACGCTGAATGCGCACTTTCATCTGGTTTGGTCTGCCGGCTTCCGTAGCGTCGTGAACGCGCATGTGCGCGCTTTCAGGAAATCCTACACACTACTGTTTATGCTCTAAAAACATTCTAAATGACTTCGTTTCGAGTAAATTCTGGACGCTACCCACTCAGGACACTTGGAATACATTGGACGACCAGTATGGAGGAATATTGACACTTTTTTTGTGGACTTTTATGGACCTTTGTGCCTCGGGCGCCACAGACCTCCATTATTTGAATGTCAGCAGACAGCAAGAAGCCTCCCAGATCTCCAGATGCATTTGAGATATCAAAAAAGTACTCCAGAGTGTTGTTCAGCATGGGGGTGAGTAGAAAATGAAGGCTAATCATGTTTTGGGTGTACTATTCCTTTAATATTTGTGTTGCCTTAGAATTCGTTATTTATAATTACATAGGAGCGGGTCTCGCAGCCATGGAGGCAGACATCTTTGCACTACGGCAGCGCAGAGCCAACAAACTAGCGATTGCGAGATCGCCCATTACGCTCGAAAGTAACTACGGCAAGTTGAGAGAGATGAACTGAGACGGTACTGAACAATAGATGGCAGTATACCCTACACAGACTAATGAAATACTATCTGTAAAATTATCTATGTAAACAAACCTCATCACTTGAGAAGGTAGGTGATGCGGACGTTGTGGAAGACATTTTGTCCAGTAACGCTCGCCGTACTGTTGGGGGGGAGAAGCGGTGGGGGGGAGATGTTCATGTTGCTGCGGTCTGCAGTCTGGACGTTAGATGTCGCTGAAAATTACACACTGTAGCTTTAAATCTAATATTTTTCTCTGGAGATTTTTGATATTTTAAGTTGTTGATAAAAAAAAATTTTTGTCATAGCACAGTAAGAAAAATGTCTAAATAACATACTTGTTACTAAAAAAGCTGTGTGTTTCCATGTAAGCCTACTTTAGCAATCCCTTGGATTTTTCTTGTTAAGATTCTTTTTCATATTTTTCATGGTTTCATGCTGAAGCTCTGCTAGAAGAAAGATCTGGTTTGGATGTGGTGACTGTTTCCCAGGCAACTCCCGGAGGTCGTCTTTGAAGTCCTGCCTTCATCGACTGAACTGTTTACAAGACATAAACAAATATTTCTATGTAGTAGAACTTCTATATAATATAAAAATGACACTTTTTTATTTGCCATAAATGGTGTTTAGTGAAAACCAATTGAAACCAAAGTCATTGTTTGATAGCATAAACTTTACTAATAAAACTGGTTCATATTGTGCAGTGCAGCATTGTCAGAGAAACAGTCCCACGGTGTCATGCTGCCAACACCATGCCAGACCATAGATGCAGGTTTTTTGTTTAATGTCATCTAAAAATATTCATATTGACACCTTAAAACATAACTTTTTATCATTATAGCCATTCAGCTTATTGTTTCATTTAACAATAAACTTTGTCTGCATGTGGTATTTGGCTTTTATAATAATCACAGCTATATTTAAGCTTGAAGTCTTTATATTTGACTGTTTATGTATGACAGAGGCATCAAGAAGATCATCAATCCCCTGAAACTGAGGTGCAGTGCCTGCACAGGTCTCGCCATATATGTGTTTCTCGCATATCTAGTTTTCATTGCAAGCACAATGCATGAAATTGGTCAACATGGCTTGTTGTCTAAGATGGAAGCATCTTTTAATCTTCTAAAAATTATGCACATGAATGAAAGTTTTCTAAAGACAAGCAGACAGAGGACATAGATTACTGGAACCATGTCCTGTGGGTTGGTGAGACTAAGATAAACCTATTTGGGTTAGATGGTATTGAGTGTTTAGAAATTAGCAATTAGTAGTATGAAGAAAAAAATCTCGCTTATAATCAAACATTGTGGTTGATGCGTCATGGTTTAGGGCTTTATTGTCATGGTTGTACCCTTTTTATCTATGTCAATCTGCTTTCTTGATCTTTGGTTTATTTTCCATTTTGTGTTATATTTAAGCTGTGTTCCATTTTTTGAGTTACTCTCTGTTGCCCCCTTGTGCCAGTCTCCTTTCCCCCACACCTGCTTATTAGTCCACAAATTCTTTTGTTTCCCATATATGCACCGCCTCTACAGTTCCTTATTGTTGGTTTCTTGTTGTCGCTTGGCTCACCATGTATGTTTCCCCCTGATGTCTCCTGGTTTTTGGTTTCCTGTATTTTGATTTTTGGATTTTGTTTCTTTTGTCTTTTTGGTTTCATTAAACTTGCAAGAACTTATCTCTGCTGCCCTCATCTCCGCATTTGGGTCCTCAACCAACCTCTACCCAACCTGATATTAATGAGTTTTGACTGAAGCACAACCCTGATGCAACAGAGAGTAAAGGTGCTGAACTGGTCAAGCATTTTTCCAGATCTTAACCTTACTGAGCATCTGTGGAGCATCTTTAACCAAAGGTGTAGCAAACACCAAAGGCCGACTCAGAAACCAAGTTTGTCTGCATGTGTG